GCTATGCAAATGTTGGTCAATCAATTCCTGTTCAATGTATGGTACTCAAGTTTCTCAAGCTCTTTTCTTTCTTGGGTGTCAAGCCCTTTGATTCTTCAAGGATCCAATTACACTGCTTTTCTAGGATCGAACCAGTGTAGTTCTTAATTGTCTCTTCCATTCAGATTCTTCCTTGTTCTATTTTTCAATACTTTGGAATAAGCTTCATCAATCGATCATCACTTGACCATCATTCAATGAATTTCTCAGCACTAACCAATTTCAAAACAAGTTTCATCCACCATCACTGAGTCATTGCTCACAGGTGTCTCAGCATTAACCAATCCAAAACAGACTTTGTCCACTGATTGTTCTCATCATTCAATCATATCTTGCAAGTCATATCGACCAATTCATCCTTGTACTCATCACTTTTCAAGATTTGCCCCATTATATTCTTCATTCGGTCACATCATATATCCTTCCAAATCATCATTTCTTCATTTTGTTACCACCATCATCTTAGATTTCTTTTCAAATGAATGCAAGACTCTTTTAAGCGTATATTCATTCATTCATTATCATTTCAAATCCTGACAAATACAATGCAATCAAGCATTTTCTCAATTCATTCTAGGGGTGAAACAATAAGAAAAAACAAGGTGAATTATCAATGGAGATCTATTTTGGTATAAAACAAATGGGAAAGGAAATGAATTGGATGTCATTGAGATGGATGGTATGTCCAAATGATGAATATTCAGACAATTCTCAACATTAATTTAGGATTCTTTTTCAAAAACTCATTCCATTTACTGTTGAAGTCATCTTGAGCCTGGCGAACTTTACCCCAGTCTTTGAGGGATCTTCCATTCATGTGAGCCATTTGACTTGGATCTTTTTCTATCAACCTTTCAGGTTTTCAATCTCAATCTTTTTTCATTTTCTTTCTTCTTTCTTTCTTTTTTTTTCTTTTTTCATCATCTTTCTTTTTTTTTTCATTTTTTTATTCATTGTTGATATCTTTCATACATCAAACTCTAGAGCAATGTAGCATGATTCCATTGCTACATCATGAGCACGTCTTTGTTCAACATATGACCATTCAAGTTGAGTATTCACACTTGATCCAAATGGACTTTTCAAGGTTGTAATGTAGGCCAAGATGAAGGGTCATAAAAAAAAATGGATATAATAGGCTCAAAACATGTATTAAAAAGGTTCAAAACCAAAGGATCATTTGATGCAGCTTGGCATTTTGCCCCCACATCATTTCACTACTTTTTTCTTTCATCACACAAAGGATTCTCATTACTTTGCCCCAAGTCATGTGTGGCATTTATTTTTCTTTTGCTTTTCTTCCTCTTTCCATCTTTGAGACCTTTTGTGGTGTCTTTTCTTTTTTCTTTTTTCTTTTTTTTTTTTTTTCAAAAATTACCCTCCAATGTAGAGGGTGATCCTTGGTTGGGGTTCTTCAGAAAAAAAATGATAGGCTCAAAGGGGTAACAATAAATGGTTTTTCAAATGGTAAAAGAAAAATGGCCATTTTTCATCTCAATTGTGAATACCTTTCTTGAACATCATCTATTGAACAAAGCTCATGAACTTGTATAAAAGATTGTACATCTTCAAGACATATCTATTTCACCTCCAGTAACAGCTTACTTTTTGCTCAAATCATCTTTCCATATTAATGTGGATGAGTTCTCAAAATTAAATCCCAGAATTACTGTCATCATTGTCTAAATATTCATCATCTGAAATTTAGGAATGGGAGTATAAAGTTATGAAAGGTAACGGAGCATGGAGTAATGGTCAAGTGAAAGAGAAAAATGTAATGAAATGCATTGACTTGCCTTTATTAAAATGATAACAAGTGAAGTCATATTACAAAAAGAAATCTAACATTATTTGAAAAGAAATCCTAAAATGACAGAAGAAACCTTCAACCAGCCTTATCTCCATTTTTTAAAATTGTCCCCTTATGCGATCAGGTGAAGAATCTCTATTGACATCTTGCCCCCCAATTCATTGTGACTCTTCGAACCCTTTCTGTTCTTGACTTTCACTCAGAGCGCTAACATTAGATGTTGTTGCTTTTCCTTGATCAAAACTTACCATTCCATCATTGATCAATCGTTGCACCTTATACTTTAAAACAGTACAATTTTTAGTAGAATGGCCAGTAATTCCATAATGGTAATCACAGCGGGCTGTAGAATCATACCACTTTGGATAGGGTGGTTTAAGCGGTTTCATATGGCTGGGGGCAATCAAGTGGCTATTATAGAGTTCTCGATATAACTCTGTATAAGTCATAGGGATTGGATCAAATACAGGTTTTTCTCGAGTAGTCCGTTGTTCTCGTGAGCCACTTGCTAGGTTAGTAGGGCGAACTTGAGTTCTTACAGGAGCTTGAATGTTAAGGCAGTAAGTGGATGAATAAGATGGTTGTGGAGCTAACTGGTATGGGTAGGATGAGGCATTATTCACAGTAGGATAGTATGAAGAGTAACCTTGGGATGGATAGGGTTGATAACCCCTGAATTGTTGTCTATCAAAGCTCACAGCTTGAGCTTCAGCTTCTTTCTTTTCTGATGTCTTCTTGGTTTCTCCTCCTTTCAACTTACCATTTTTTATGGCATTTTCAATAATTTCTCCAGAGATCACCATGTCGGCAAAATTCTTCGTTGCATTCCCTATCATCTTTTCATAATAGGGAGGCTTCAAAGTGCTGACAAATAACACTGTAGTTTCTTTCTCTGTCAGAGGAGGTTATACCTGTGAAGCTATATCTCTCCATCTCTGGGCATACTCTTTAAAAGACTCGTTTGACTTTTTCTCCAGATTCTGCAAAGACAAACGATCAGGGGCCAAATCGATGATATGTCGATATTGATTGATAAAGTCATGTGCCATATCGCTCCAAGAGCGAATGCGAGTCCTATCCAGCTGAACATACCATCTGGCTGCAGAGCCAGTAAGACTGTCCTGAAAAACATGCATCAAGAGTTTCTCATCATGAGCATGAGCTGCCATCTTCCTGCAATACATGGTGATGTGGGTTTTGGGGCACTTTGTACCGTCGTATTTTTCAAATTTTGGTACTTTAAACTTATAGGGGATAACCACATCAGGAACTAGGCAGAGCCCAGCAGCATCAACTGACCCATAAAAGCTAAATCCTTCCACAGCCCTTAGCCTTTGCTTTATCATGCTAATTTTGGAGCTTTCCTCAGCTTCCACCCTTATCTTTTCCTTCTCCTTCTCTTCTAGATCAGGAATTGGTTCTGCTATCTTTTCAGTGAAGACAGGATTTATATTGCTGTTATACTGCCCTGGGTTGAAAGCTGATGGCATTCTCGGATATGTTGGATATGCGAAGTGTTGTGGCGGGACCTTTTGAGCAGAATGAGTTTGAGGTGGACCAAAACCTGGAGGGTACAGAGGGTCAGCCACTTCTTGTAATGGGGGAACTTGGTGGCTTATACTTTCTTCAACTCTTTTTCCTTTATTTATGTTATTAAAAGCTTCCAGAATCTTGCTTAGCTCACTTTCAATCTTTTCTTATGCTTTTTCTAGCTTTTCAAATCTATGAGAACTTTCTTCTTCCATTTGCCTTGCTCTGGATCTTGTGTTGTATGGATGAGCAGAGTTTTCGCTAGATGGAGCTATCCTCGGACCTTGAGTACCATACTTATGATTAGAAATATTATGCTGTGCCTTATGTATGATGCTTTGATACACAAATGAAATGTACATTTTTTGAATGAAATCTAGTATGAAATGAATGCAAATGATTGTGTTGAAACATGATCATGAAAAGAATACAGATGCATACAATCAGAAAAACAACATAGTTAGTTCCGTGGATGAAATGTAAGTGATGCTGATGCATAATGTTACATATGATAAAAATAATACACAAAGTTAAACAGTCAAAATGATTAGACAAACACCATTTTTATGTCCTAATTTCAAGGTATATCTATCATTGGGTAGAAAGGGCTCTATCTTAGGTGTAGGCACTCTTAAGGTTCACTACATGCGGTTTTAAGGTCAGAGTCTAAAGGTCCTCAAATTGTTCCTTACATCTTTGTCCATCACAGACTAGTAAGATACCCTAATCCTCACCCATTACAGGCTACAAGCGAAAAAGGTTCAATTTGAGTAAGAGTATTTCGCTAGCCACTGCGGAGGCATTAGACCTCACGAAAGCAATAGGTACTTTACTCCCTCCTAGAGGGACGGAGCTCGGGTGTAGAGCTCATGTTATGCACATGCACATGAATGACATAATTAACAAAGTAAATAAACATGAATGAATAATAACACATATATACAGAAGGGTTCAATTTTATTAGGCTTTTTGGATAACACAAATTATTTGCTGGCCTGACTCTCAAAGTCCCCAGTGGAGTCGCCAAGCTGTCATAACGTCTAGATCCGGGGATCTATCGCTAGACATTGGTTTTAGAGAGTCGCCACCAATCTTTTTTATCTAGGTGCGATTGGCCACCTATGGAATCTGTCCTTTCAGGGAACACCTAAGTTTAAGGGTCCCTAAAAGAATAGGTTCAGGTCTGCTAACCAGAACAAGGTTCGGGAGTTCGATTACGTGTGAGGAAGGTTATAGCACCCTCACAACGCCCATTAAAAGATGGTACCAGCTTAAATTTATGTTATCCAAAAAGCCTTAAAATTTTACCAAGTAATTAGTTGTTGGAAATTATTCTCAATTGACTCTAATACTTTTAGCAGAAAATTGAGAAAATTCCCTCACCTCAGGAGTATGCAAGAAAGAACTACTGTTTCACTTGCAGAGGCTCCGTCGTCGGATTAATTAAAGAAAAATCAAAATAAAAATCAAAATAGAAAGGAAGGAAAGGATGATTGTTCTTGTGTAGGGAAAATTGATACTTTCAACTTTTCCCCAAAAATTTTTTGGAAATTTATTTTTAAGGAAAATTGATACTTTCAACTTTTCCTCAAAAATATTTTTTTTTTAATCGTTTTATCTTCAAGAGTTATTTAAAAGATGCTTGACAGATCAAAATTTCCTGTGAAACATTTTAAACTTACTTGGTATCCAACACGAGAACAAATGAACATCTTCTTGCACCACCTTTGCTTACGAGATGGTGATTGAATTAAGTGCATCGATTCTTGACCCTTTAAGACACCGATACATGTATAATGTTTCAACAAAGTCAACCATCTCCTTCTCAACAGCAAACCTAGTCACTTCAACCACTAGGCGAGGCGTAACATGGACAGTCTCCTGACAACCTTGATGAGTTAGTTTACAGGAGGACATCCAAAGGAACCTCATGTTATAGTAGCGATGCAAACCAGAAAACAAAGCTGCATCCCCAAATGGGCCAAGGCATCCCAACAAGAAGTGAAGTTTTGTTGCTGTATCTAAATCCCTTAACAACTGCAGCAACTACCATTGTTTTAATAACAATCACTAATATTACAGCTGCTAGCAATATATCAATGTGATTCCAAAGGAAATGCACATGAATCAACATCCCCAATACTGGCCAGGAAGAGAGCAACAAAGCAATTGCGAATTTGCTCAACTTGTTCAAGTGTATGCTGATTCAAATCAGAGGTTGATATCATCATTCCAGCAACAAATGAACCCAGCTCATCACCAAACAGCAAGCAAGCAAAAATGCTATGGATGTCAACTGATAGAGCTCCTTAGTCAACGATTTAGTCGTGGATAGTACTCCTTGAAGGACACCAGAACTGCCACCTAGAATTGAAGTAAAGCAAACAGCAAACCCACAGCACAGTCCTCCACATAACTGCAAAAAACATATAGCGAAATTGTTATACCACCCGAACACGTGAAGAGAAAATTTTGAAGAAAACCTCCAAGGACAGCAACTGCTCGAATAACACGAAGCTTTGTTGTTGAAAACTCCAAGCTTGATGTGTGAATCCTTGGCTGCATATTTTGGTGTAATTGATTGGGCTGCTGTTGCAAACCCAATTGTTGCTGCAGCTGAGTAGTCTGTAATTGCATCTGTGATATCAGTTGCTGCCTTTCGCATCATCCAATCTGTGCTCCCAAGGCGTTCATGGATGCTTTGCCGCAAGGATTCCAAGCTCTGAGGTGCAATTGCTCCCTCCTGTGACAAACTCGCCACTACCGCCAAAAGGGAAGCCTTAGCCATAAAATTCTGATTATTCAACAGCTTGCAAGTCCTTGGACACAGCTTCTGAAAAGCAGCCAAAGGAGGATCAGTTGCACATTCCACCATCTTAGCCATACACGTTGCTCGACGTAACAAAGTGGAGCGCCTTTTCCAACGTGTTCTCCAAAGCAGGTTCTACAGGTGATCTTCCACCTCCTCTTTCGAAGCAAAGCCTTCCTTCATGGACTATCGCCACGGCTCCTGAGTTCGAGACCGAGACAGCTGCGATTGGGCTCAGCTTGCGCCTGTGCCAACTTTTGTTGCTCAACAGACCTGCTCATGCGCTCAAGCAAAATTGGTAGCGGGATCAGGGGAATTTTTTTTGTCAGTTTCTGATCTCTGGATCTTTCTTCCTGTTGCTGCTCCTTAGCTTCCTGTAATTTTCTGCACAAGAGTGATCAGCAATGCAAGAGAAGGAACCAAAAGATGAACCAAACACTGTTCACGGTTGCGTTCCAGCAATAAATCAGATGCAGAATTTATTCAGTATCCTCGTCAACAAGATATTCAAAGGACAAAGTAAATTGCAAGTCTCCTTTGGACCCTAGGGGTTAGCCGCTAATGTTTGACCAGCAAGCATTCGTGATCTCCTTCGTTGGGTAACTTCGTTTTGGCTCGAGAGGGTGCCTCCAGCACCTCGATCTAACGGGATGCCCTCAGGATTTTGATTTTGCGATAGACCATGATCCCGGACGGGATCATCATTCATTGTGGGTGTAATACCTGAGATATACCACTCACTGCTTCTGTAATATTTTACGGACTGCAGGAAGTGAAAATGGTGGAAAAGTCATGTATCACACCCCGAATACCCTCATGATCCTCTTTCCACATACCACTGTCATAAAAACCAATCCCTGACTTGATTATGCCTTCGCCTCTGAACACACGAAGCATGGGAAAGAACTTGTCTTTTTATCACCAGCTTGAAGCCGCTGAACCCGAGACTGACATCTCCAGAATTCCTTTTCCCTCTTAAGATCCTGCTTCAATGATTTCGCCTTTACATGGTCACACACGGGCTGTCTAGCTAGCTTCTCCATTTCAGCAGCTCAACCCGAGGTTCCAAGCTATGTCACATCTGCCGTTTGCTCAGAGGGCAGTCAAAGGCACGTCACCATTGACAAATGCGATGTCTTGGTCTCTAAACACTTCATGGAAGGGGAGATCGCCCACCAAAGAGAGGCCTTGAGGGCTGGTGGAGATGGGGGCTTTCCCCCCTCTTTCTTCTCTCCTATTCGGACTCCTCCTCTTATTCAGATTACTCCTCTCTCTTTTTTTTCTCCCCTTTTTTTTCCGTCTCCTATTCGGATTCTTCTTCTCTCCTATTCCGATTTCTCCTCCCTCTTTTTTCGTTTTATAAAAACTATGCTGTTTTTTTATAGAATTTCAGTTCTATTCCACTTAGTCCTCCAATGCTAAAGATTAGCCACCAATCATACTTTTTGATCATCATCCAACTTAATCTCAATCTTTCCTTTTTTTTTAAAAAAATAATCAGATAATAAAAAAATGATAAATATGAAATAAAAAAATATAAAATAAAAATGAATAAAAATTCCTGCAACTGAGCTTGGATTAGTCTCAATTGACAAAGAATCCTGGACAAAATAGGGTGTCTACACTATTAATAAAGGATAAAAAAATTCTTTCATATATCACTAGAATAAAGCCCTCGCTTTGCATGAGATTTTCTTAAAAAATATATTATAAAAAATAATATTAAATTGAATAATATGATAAATAATAATACTTTAAAAAATATTTTTTTTAATTTTTAGTTTTCAAAAAATACTTACTTTAATATCCAATTGCACTTTTGGCTTTTATACAAAAAAAAAAAGTCCTAAAAAGTGAAAAAAAGGAAAATGGAAATAGAAAAAACTAAGTACAAAAAGTAAATATTGGTCACTTAAAAGCAACTGCAACATTGGTTGTTGGCCAGCCCCCATAGAAAGTTATTGAGAAATTAACTCCAACTTGCTTGACACTTCACATTATTTATAGTCATATCTTCACTATTAGTTTTAGTTTAGCGTGAATAACGTTTTAATTTGTGGAAAATAAAAAGTCTTGTGCTTCGTTTTACACGCAAAGGCACTTACTTTATCTCATTGCAAAATTTTTCTATAAGTATGTCGGCCACTTTCAAGAAAGTGTGATCTTAGTGTGATCCTAGTAATAAATTAGTTTATTCAAGTTTCAATTCCCGAAATTTACCTTCGATGAGAGAAGACAACGAAAGACATTAACACTCCTTTTTGGTAAAAAGGAAAGGAAACCAAACAGAGTCTACGCAAGGACCTTGACTTGTCAAAGTCTTTTAAGTCTAGTTCAGATTGATTGTGTTATTATATTATAAAATAATTTATTTTTTAATTTTATTTTAGAATATATTTAAAAACATTAAAAGATTAGTATAAATATATTTTTAATATTTTAATTATAAATAAAAATGAAATGCAGAGCCCACCAAACCTAAGATTTCTATATGTCAACCACGGTCGGCTCCTCTTAGTTCATGGACACTTTTTTTTTTTCAAATAATATATTTTTAGGGAATTAAGAAAGCCAATTATTTTTGCAGCTCCACAATTACTCCTTGCAAATAACACGATTAGGATGTTATTATTTTTAAAATTTATTATATTTTAGGTGCTATATTAGAAATGTTCCAAATTCAAGTAACATATTAAATATTTTTTTGTAATTTAAAGACCATTCATAATATTAATCATCTTTATAATTTGTCACCATAAATTGAACATTGGCTATATAAAATAATGTAAATGTTTCTATGATAGCTTGTTATTAGACTCGTCTATGTGTCGGACCATTTGCTAGTTTCAACTCAATCAAGTATTGAACAAAATATTTAAAAGTTTTTATTAAGGTTAATTGCTTATTTTGTTCTCGTTAAACAATATTGTTAATTTAATTTAAGATATATTTAAAAATAGTAAATTATTAATATAAAAATCTTTTTAATATTTTAATAATAAATAAAAAATGAAATGGAAGATTTGACCAAACATAAAATTTTAAGGTGTTAATTATGTTCGATATTTTTAGATGTGTAGACACCAGATTTTGTCCGGATCTTTTATAATTAATAATAATAATAATAATACTAATATATATTTTTTTAAAAATATTAATTAAAAAAAAAGAGAAAATGGGAAAAACAAAAAAACAAAAAGTAGGGTGGCTGGTGAACGGTGCCGCAACCACCAACTAGCCACCCTATAGCCCACTTCTACAACCTACCCCAACCCACCTACAGCCACTTTATAGCCACCAAATGTTCCCCTTTTGAAGCTCCTTAAAAACCTCTAGCTTTTTCTCCTTGGGATCTCTCTCTCTTTCGAATATCAAAAGCCCATTCATTCCACTCGAATACTAGAAATCCCCAAGCTCAGATGAAACCTCTCCCTTCAACAACCCTAAATAGAACCCACACCAACTATACCCAAATACCCAAACAAAAAAAAAAAGAAACAAAAAAAGGACAAACATAATCCTCCCCGCAGGGAGGAACCCAGCGCTGCCCTACGTGCAAAAGCAAAAAGAAAAAATCACATTAGTCTCTTTAAAAAAAAAAAAGGTAGAAAACTTCAAGCCTCGATTTATGTCGATCGGGGCTGTTTCTGGTAAAACAGACATCGGATCTAGAAAGAGGGCGTTGAGGTGAACGTTTGGGAGTATTTTGATATTTTTCGCAATCGACGACCACCAACGGCTACCACCGACGGTGACCCAGGCTGCGACCGACGCGGCGGTCCAACGTCAAACTCTGGCCGAAGCCAGAGAGGATTTTTTTTAGGTGAGATATTTTTTTAAGTATTTATAACAGAGTTAAAATTTTGGTTGAAAAGTAATAATTAATTAGATCATGACTTAAATCAAGCCTTTAGAAATTGGTCAATTTTAACTGTCTCCCAATATCTATAAATAATTTACATAATTTCATCATTAAAGAAAGGAAATAGATGAACTTATTTGTTATATCATCTTGAAACATGAACTAAGATTTTTGTTAACAAAATCAAAATTTTTGGAAAAAAAGTAATTTTACTTTTCATATCTATTGATCCATTTAACTGATTGAAGCTTATAAGCAAATACTTCAAATTTGAAAGCCCGCTAAGCGATGCAAATATGCTGTCATTAAGGAGATTATTTCTCAAATCAAATTCTTCTAAATGGGTCAAGTTCAGCTGTCTCCCACTATCTGCATAAGGTTTGCATAATTTCATCACTAAAAAAAGATTTACATAATATTTAATTATATATAACAACTTAACTAATTGAGCAAATATAAATGCATAGCTTGTAAGGAATGAAGGCTTTCAATTTTGTAGAAAGATTATATATTCAAGATTTATGCAAGATGAATTTTTAATAGAGAAGAATATTGAATCGTTAAATATTTTTAATATAAATTTTAATATACGAAACAATCAAAAAGATGAAAATCAAACAAAACGGTAACATGAAAAGGCAAAATTTTTTAAACGGTAATAAGAATACGTAGTAATCTAAAACAGAATGACAAAAGGCAAACAAGTCCAACTCTAAGACACAACAAGGTAATACAAACAAAAAGGGAAATATTTGATATGCCGTTGCAACACTTCTTAAAGAAAGCAATTATCTAAGGCAAATATATATCATTTACAAGTCATATTATGTTGTTGGCCGTGGCTAATCAAGATTCATCATCATGGTGAAAGTCCGTAGATTTGTATTTAATTTCATCCAGTTTCAGGGAATAGGCTCTTAAGACAATCTATAATGTCACAGCCATATCAGAGTGTAACATTAAATCCTTATTTTTAACTATGAGATGGATGAAGGATTATCAACAGATTTGAAAAATGTGATAATAGCCACACCTTACGTCTAAAAGAGGTCTGGCACTCAAATCCATTCCCATAACTCAGCTAAACATCTAAATGGGAAAGGTAGTGACCAAACTTTTGTTTTTTCCAGTTTCTGGCCCTTTCTCTTCCTCTTCCCTTGTTTCCCTACTTTGAAATTCTTTCCAGAAGTTTATTCTTTCTTCTCTTTTGTTTATAATGCCTTAGTTGCAAATTCCTTAAGGAGAAATGCTCACTTATAATCCACTTACATTATTGTAATAAGTTTACACTGCTTCTAACTTTCTATGTGGTTTATCTTTTACTAAGTTTCTGTTTGTTCTAATAATCTAAGTCTTGCACATCAATGAATTTTAATTTGCTCAGTCCTTATTCTTAAATGTCTGATATAGGATTATTCACTAAATAGGAAAAACCGTGATGATGGTCAGACCTTACATCCAATAGCACTCAAAATCTCCTCTCTCCTAAATTATCAAAAGGCTAATTGGGAAACATGCAAATTATTTGAGTTTCCAATTTTGGTCCCTTCTCTTTCTCCTCTTATGTCCCCTTCTCTTTAAAATTTTAATCTTTGTTTTGTCATATAAAATAATTCTATTCCCAACTCCTTAATCGGAAATAGTTTCCCAATCCACTTGTAATTGTTACATTAGTGTATCAAGTGTAAACCACTATGTAACATTCTGCTTGTTTACTTGTTTTACCATTGTATATCTTCTAGCTGTTCTGATATTTGTAACATTTTAATGAAAGAAATTGCCATTTTATGGTAACTAACTATTGAAGTTTTTATGATGTTGTTAATCAATTCAAATATAGCAAGCATTAAACCTGAACACTTATATAGAAGGGAGTTCAGTCAATCATTGGTAGACCAGATTAAGTTGCTTGTCTCCATGGTCTATTTATATTTTACTGAATATGGTTAAGGCCAAATATCATTTTAGGTTAAGAGGGGTTTGTAAGGAAGAACAAAAGTAGAGAAAGAGTGGATACTTCTCAAATGAGACTAACACATACTAACCTTATAATTATCTGTTAAGGAATCTTGAAATATTAATGTTAAATTTTGTTATCTGAGCATAGAAGGCCAACATACTGCAAATGGGTTAGAAATGTATATTTGTGACCAACTTCATATTCATATGAATGTATGGGTGCGTGACAAATCTCAATGGGTCAAGCTAGCATTCATCCTTGTCTTAATTTGTTGTAATAATGTTTTTAAGAGTTAGTCAATGTTCCTTTTTGCAAAATGTTTCTTGAGTTAAATCAATTGTTTATGCAATCATAAGCGACATTTAACCGATATAAGATTCAAATTTTAGTACCTACAAGTTCTTTCTCTATTTTTAAGGCTACAGGTTTTTTTTTTTTTTGTACAAAAAAAATGTTTGTTGAGATGCATGACATTTTAATTATATATATATATTTTCAAATATTCATTTTGAAATGAATTCACAAAAGTCTTCCCCTGTGCTTGCAGGATATAGAGCAACTTTTGAATTTCATCGGCATCAAGAGCTTAGGACCGCCGACGTGTGCTCGCAAATTTGAAGGAGCTTATGAGGACTGTCCAATCTTCAGAATTTATGAATTCATGAATTTTGATTTACTAAGGTAAACTTAATTAGTTAATTACAGTGTAAATGGACAACTTAATAATTCTTCACACACAACCCGGGTGCAAATTTTTGACCAAGCACCTTTCATAAAGCCTTAAAAAAAGAATCGCAGTTTTGGTTGTTAAAAAATCAAGCCTAGAGTTGATTTCTAAGGAGCAGATTGTTTGATGTTACAGAAAAAATTCAGGTTCGCACGGTTCTCTTTCTAAATATGTTTTAATATATGTTTCTTGGTGAGAATATAAGTTGATAAGATAGGGAAATTAGATTGTTGTGTATAAATGTTACATGACAATGAAGTTCTAAAACCCGAACTAAACTTTGCAAGATAAACCTTTTGGTATAAAAAAGATAGTTTAATGTCTAATCGAATTTCATTGGAGTTGGATTTTAAGGGTCAGGTTTTACTTGATTTGATCTGGATTTTTTTTTTTGGGCAACAATGGATTATTTTTACGGTAATAAATATTTTTTATTTAAATTTAAAATTCAAATCTTTTAGAACATATTAAAATTATTAATTTAAAAATAATTTTTAATATTTTTAAACAGTAAAAATGATTGATTTGGATATAAATAGATGGGTCAGATGGATCCTAAACTTAAAAGTAAATTTGTCATTTTAAAATACGATACAACAAAAAGATGTAAAAATAATATAATTAAATTTTTTTAAAAAATTATAAATAAATTTAATAAAATTAAAAAATTAAATTTTATGTTTTCGTAAAACTGTAATATGTTATATTCATATAAAATACGATATGAATATAATATTTTACATAATATAATAACATGAATTATCAATTCTACTTAAAAATATCAATAGAATTTTATTTTATTTGATCCAACTTATTCATGCACAACTCTATTTGTAAGAGAATGTTATATTTGTAAAAAATAGCCTCTTTTCGTAAGGTGTTGTTATTTTTGTAAAAAATGGATCAAATCGATTGTATTGAGAAGAGGAAAGGCTAGAATACCACTGAAACCCAAATCTTTTGGAATGTTCAACTCAATATTCATCACTTACCTGAGTTTGGTTCTCAAAACCATCTCTTGGAAAGTGCCACTGTTGGATTTTGCAAACTCCCCTCTTCCCCAATTCCATTCCAATCGACCCAGCAATTGACTAAGGGTCTGCAAAACTTAGCTGAGAGAGCTGAGACACCATCACGCAAGCCTCGCAACTGAAAACACAGATCACAACTTTAAGTTGTTATCATTACATTATTCTTTTGCAGTAGTTTGTTCGGCTTAGGACCTGTCGATGTTGGTGGATATCCACGTTGCAACACCATATATACAGGCATTTCAGGTTAAATGATTGCCAAAACCTGTAACATACATGTAATGACCATATTATTCTCAACTGAATTCTCTTTTACGAACTGGACAACATAACAAGAATATCAATAACATAACTGGCTTTTCCTTTTTCCCTTTTCTTTTAACTAACAGAAAAAAGAACATAAGACATGAGTTGAACTTCAACCCAATTTAAAATTCATAGACTACAAGGATAGCATACCGTGTTGGTAAAGTTCATACCGCCTACTTTCAACTACGGTCAATAATTAAAAAATTATTCTTATTATTACAAAGTACAATTACCCTAAGCTAAACGGTAGAGGGATCAAGATAAATGCCAGCCAGCTTATCAACAATCATTTACATTGATACCAAATAAAAAAAAAATAAAAACAGACCCTGAAAAAGGATAAAGGAAGAAGGTAATAATTCATCATTGACGATCAAGCACACATAACAAAGGCTAAAAGGTTTAGAATAAACACAGCCACAGGTGAATTTTTGCATTCATAGTGGTAAGCTCACTCTTCTCTCATTTTTTATTCTACATCATTCTTCTAAGCTGCTTTGCCTCTATCACCTCAAGTTTAGAAGGTTTTAGAAAATAACCTTGCCATTCTAAGCAAACAAAATAATTGAGTTCCCTATTTAGCTTAGTCACCACATTAGGAGAGCAATGTTGAAAGACTTCAGTTAGCACGGCCAAGTAATACTTCACCAGAAGAGTTCAATTCTGGGAAGTGCCACACGGATTTTATCACTTCTAAATGCAGGGAGGGAAGGACGGGGGATTCAGAGAGCCATATTATAATTGGATAGTCTAATTGCAATAAGCCTCTTATCCTAGCATCATGGTACCACTTTGGAATTGGATCCTCCAGAAAAACCAAAGGTAAACCATGACGATAGGAGAATAATTAATGACACCAAAATAGATTGATGCTTTAAATGGGAAAAAGGATCCAGTGAAGTAGGCGTGGATGAGGGGTATTATAGTAATTTTGATTTAAATATAATAAGGAGTATTTTTGTAATTATAATAGCATGACATAATAGTAATTTTGGTATTTCTGTAATTATGGTAGAAGGGCATTGTCATAATTTTGACTAATTATAAGAAAAAATGTATTTTTTTTAATTATAATGTAAAACCATTATAATAAATTTACATACATATCAAAATCACATCAAATAAACAAAGCGGTGTTATAACAATTTCTACGGGAATTATTTTAATATGTTATTTAACATTTAATAAGAATTTAATAGGGTTATTATAGTGATTTAAACAAAATTTCACATGTCAAATTTTTATTAAGCAACGGCCAAGGTATTTTAGTAATTTAGTATGTAGTTAATTTTATATGATGTTAAAATTTCATATGTAATTTAATAATGATATTATAGTAATTTTTAAATAAAATATCACATGTCAAATTTTTGTAAACCAATTGTAATGATATTTTAATACTTTAATATGTGATTAATTTTATGTTATGTTAAAAATTAATATATAATTTAATAGATGTGTTATAGTAATTTTTAAACAAAATACCACATGTTAACTTCTTATGAAGTACTCATAAAAGCATTTCCATTTGAAAGGCATTATAGTAATTTTTTGCCATTTGTGGTAGGGGTATTTTTGTAATTTTATTAAGAACCATACTTTAGTAATTTTAGTCAATTATACTATGAGAGGTATTTTTGTAATTATTGAAAGAGAGTATTATAATAATTTTAATTAATTATAAAAATATAAGTATTTTTGTAATTATGATATAAATGTATTATAGTAAATTTAGATACATATCGATATCATATCAAATAAACAAAGGGTTGTTATACTAATTATCAAAAAGATTGTTTTAATATATGTTATTAATTTTGAAACAAAGTATCACATGTCAACTTTCTATTAAGCATTCATAAAAACATTTTTATAATTATGGTGGAAGAGTATTATAGTAATTTTGATCAATTATGAGAAATGTATTTTTATAATTATGTCAGAAAGGTATTATAATAATATGAGTCAATAATAAGAGAATTGGTATTTTTTTAATTTAATAATAAAAAGAATATTTTTATAATTATGGTACGAGGATATTATAATAAATAATTATAAGAGAATGTGTATTTTCTTTATTATGATATGAGAGTATAATAATTAATTTAAGAGAAGAATATTTCTATAATTATGATATGGAGTATTATAGTAAATAATTATAAAAGGAAAAGATATTTTTTAATTATGGTATGAAGGCAAAATAATCAATTTGGTTATATATCAAATTCTTATCAAACCAAGAGAGGGGTAGTTTGATCATTTTTTAGGGGTTTATTTTCAATATATGAATAGATTTTTAAGTTAAATATTAAAAACTAAATATTTGAATTTTAAAATTTTTTAATAATTTAAATTATAAATTTATTAATTAATTTGATATTTACTTTTAATCTTATAAGTTTTAAATAATGACATGTGATTAATAAATAGCATATCATATTAATTAAAAAAATTATAATTCAAATATCCAATTAAAATTTTTTTAAATGAAATCACATAAAACATTTTAATCTTCCTCTTTTACTACTGAATTATTTTCATTAAAAATTAAAATAAGACTTTTGTGAAAAAAACACATCAAAATTATCAAATCAATGTGAAAGAATATATTTTTAAAATTATCTAAAAATAAATCCAATTAAAATTTTGAAAATATTTTTGATTATTTTAAAAGAATAAAATAAAATAATTTTAAATTATATTCTTTGTTAATAAATAAATAAATGTATTTTCACTAAATTTAATAGTAAAAGTTTTACATTTAACAAATTTTAAGTTATAAAAAAAAGTAGTACTATAAATAAAAATTAACCATGCAAAGCATGAATTCAGAAATTTTAATTATTTTTTAAAAATTTTTATAGTAATAATCAAGTATTATATCATATAATTAATTATTACATCATAATCAAATTACAATCATAAAATAATTAATTAACAAACTATACTAAGTCCTTGTCCCAATAGCTAACACCCTATATTTATTATTGCTTTGAAAGATTATGCATTTAATTTATTTATTTGATGGGATTTTCTTGCGTATGAGATATATCAACTTATTATTATTATTTTTTATTTTGGAATATTTTGTAACCCTATAAAAAAATAAATGCATTTTGCGATCATTTTCATCGATCAATGCTGAATTGGCTCATTTTGTAAACTAATACTAATTTCTAAAAGACAGTGCTTCCTTCCAAACAAAACAAATACCAAAAACAGAGTTCCAACGGAGACAAAAAGCTCTGTTGAAAGTGCAAAATCATCAAAGTACTCTTTCTAAGCAATCTGAGTAACCAAATCCACAACTCTTTCTACAACCATCTTAACAGAATAATCAGCTAAAAGAAATCCCTCATTTAAAAGATCAAATCACCAAATTTCTTTTGACAACAAAAATAAACTTTATCCAAATCTTCACTACAATCAAACTAAGGGCAAATCATAAGATCTCCTATGACACCTAAACACATCTTTTGAAGATGTATAACTCAAGAAAATTGCCTACAACTGAGTAGCGACAAAGTTGTGATGGCAACTCTCAATGAAAGAAAACCATGCTTGTCGCCAATATGGATTTATGTATAGAACAACAAAAATTACCAATAAAACAATCACATATGAAACCAGAAAGCTCACACAAAAAACATATGTGTCCATGAAACTACCTTCTCCTTCATCATCTGCCGTAGTTGGTACTGTTGTTGGTGAGTCAGTTTTAGAGCAGTTATTTTGCAGTGGAGGCCCACAAAGAAGAGGGTTTCCCTCGTAACTGCTTTCATCAAAGGTCCCAAACTGAGCTTTTGGTTCTGAAGTACTACCTGACAAGTTGTTGTGTGCCACACTGAAAACCTCTAGAAAGTTCAACTCAACCAACTGTATAGGGATTCTCCCACTCAAGTTGTTGTAAGAAAGGTCCAAACTCTCAATTTGCTTAAGTTGTGAAAATGATGAAGGTATAACTCCGACTAAGTTATTGTGTGATAAGTTTAACGAACGGATTTCACTCAGGTTTCCCAGTTCCACTGGGATTTGCCCAGTTAACCTGTTACAAGATAAATCAATCCCAGACATGTGCTTAAGAATGTCACCACCGTATGAGTAGGACACACTCTTTGTTGTAAACTCTATCCATTCTTTCATGCTGCTACTAGGAAAAACATGTGATAAATCAAACCAAATGTCTATTGGTACTAGTAGATGCTGTATTCGATTTGCTATATAAAAATAATCATCCATGCGAGACTTCTTCTCTTGCATTGCCAGAGTTAAATTGCCCAAACAAGAAGGTATAGGACCAGAAAACATATTTCCAGAAAGATCTATGATGCTCAATGAATACAACTTGCATAATTGAACTGGAATTTCACCGTTTAAATGATTATCTTTCAAAAGAAGGACGCTTAAAGCAGAAAATGTGCCAATCCTTTTTGGAATATTACTGGTCAAATTGTTCCCTCTAAGATCTAATGTCACTAATGCAGAGCTACTAAAAACAAGTGTCAATGGACCACTTAGTCTGTTTCTCTTCACGTGGACATGTCTCAAATATGGTGGATTGAAACAAGAAGGAATAGAGCCAGATAAATTGTTTTGAGAAAGCTCCAAAAATTCAAGCTTATACAAGTTGCACAATTCCATTGGAATAGAACCTTCGAAATGATTGTTGGACAAAGCCAATCTCTTCAAATGCGGTACATTCCCTATCCATCTTGGGAGCTTTCCATTAAAACTGTTATTACTGAGATCAATATCCTCTAGTGATGAATATGACAAATCAGAAGCAGAGACATCAATATCAGGAATCTCTCCGGTAAAATTATTGCCATCCAAATACAAATTTGACAACTTGCTTGTGTTGAACATCATAGGAACAATCTTTCCACTTAGGTTGTTATTTGATAGCCTAAGAATATCTAATGAACTTCCCATGATCAACTCTTCTGGTAATCTTCCAGACAAATGATTGTCCGATAGGTCTAAAAATGATAAAGTGTCCATGCCACTTAAACAAGGAGGGATATTACCTTCAAAGGCATTCTTAGATAACAATAACCATTCCAAATTTGGAAAAGTTGAACATATATTTGTCGGAATTTGGCCTTGTAATTTGTTATTAGATATGTCAATTACAGACACTTTAGGATTAGGAAGTTGTGGTAACAAGAGAGGACCGATGAAAGAATTGCCCAACAAGAAGAGATTTTCTAATTTTGTGTTATTTTCTAACAACCATAACGGGACTGTTTCACTGAAATAGTTATAGGAAAGATCAACATATCCCAAGTCATATTGGTAATAAAGGAACTTAGGAGGTTGTAGGCTAAGTCCTTTATCTGTTGTACACTTTGACAAGCTAAAAACATTTAGTTGAAACTTTGGAATTGAAGTATGAAAGGAATTAGGTTCCATTACTATATTGTTTTCATCAGCCAAGAGAAACTTGAGATTTGGAAGGTTTGCAAGTGATAGGAATGGCATTGAAATTTGACAACGATTTCTTGAAAGGGTGACAGATCTAAGTGATGAAAGATTTGCTAAATGAGTCAAATTTCCAGTAAATTGATTGTCGGAGATATCTAACTCAAGAAGAGATGTCAAGTTACCCAAACAATAAGGAAGTATCCCCTCAAATGCATTCTCTTTGATGTCCAACTTTTCAAGGTTCTTTAAATCACACCAACCTGAAAATTTTGTAAATTCATGGAAGAAATTCTAATTAAATTTTAATTTCCATGTCAAATTATATAGGAGATATTAGATAAAAGAAATAGAATAAAGGATTATTAGAAAGAGATGTATTCCGTAAGTTATATTGGAGAAATTATGGAGTCTTTAATTTACCTTGATTAGGCAAGGAACCCATAAGTCCACAGCTAGATAAAGACAAAGTTTTAAGAGAAGTGAATACTCCAATGCTTTGCAAAATGTTGTTGTTGAGATAAGAACCGTCTAGAAATATTTCCTCCACATTGCTCCACACATGCAATTTTGAGTAATCATAGCATAGGAGGCATTATTAGATGTTAATCAACAAACATCTACTAATTTTTAGTCCTTTTGGAATAAATTAATGACTTACCTTGATCTTGAGTAGTCATAGTCTTGTTTAAGTAATTCCCTAGTAGAACGAAGCTCTTAACCGATGGGAATGCCTCTACTAATTTTAGTAGTAATGGAATGCTTCCATTGGTGAAAACCCCAATTAGATAAAGAACTTTTAACTTTTTCAAACTCTTATATTCTGTAAATGGAAAAAATAAACAAGTGTAAATTTTTATTTTTGTAGATAAGATTATATATCCAAGATTTATGCGAGATGAATTTTTAATAGAGAAGAATATTGAAACGGTAACAATTTTTAATATAAATTTAATATACAAAACAATCAAGAAGATGAAAATCAAACAAAACTGTAACATGAAAAGGCAAAATTTTTTTAAAGGGAATAAGAATGAGCAGTAGTCTAAAACAGAATGGCAAAAAGCAAACAAGTCCAACTCTAAAACACAACAAGCTAATACAAATAAAAATGGAAATATTTGGTATGCAACTGCAACACTTCTTAAAAAATGCAATTACCTAATGCAAATATATATCATTTCTAATTAGTAATCAAATTATAATGTATTTCTTCCTTTAAAAAATTAGGTTTAATGAGAGCATTTCACCTACAATTATTGTAATACAATTAAGTAATCACAATTCAAAATTGTGTGAGGTCTAACAAAATTTTATGTGGAGGTCACACTTATAAATGGTGGATTCTTATGTAATTCTTTATTATAATTAGAGAATTGTAATATTGTAGTAAAAAGTATATAATAAATAATTAATTTCTTTCTTTAAAAAATTAAGCATTAAATTTTAATATGCTAAATTTGTTGATCATTAAAACATCTACACCATTATAAACCTCACAAATAAAAATAAAAAAATTTATTTAAATCCATACCTTTACAAGCCACAAATTCATTCAAATCATTATAGCTCATATCCAGTTCCTCTATGTTGGTAAAAGCACCTAAGTCTGGAAAAAAAAGTAATATATAAATTTCATTAAATCATCTCAAAACACGAAATGTGTTTTTTTTTTTAAAAGTATTTATAACAGAGTTAAAATTTTGGTTGAAAAGTAATAATTAATTAGATTATGACTTAAATCAAGCTTTTAGAAATTGTTCAATTTTAACTGTCTCCCAATATCTATAAATAATTTACATAATTTCATAATTAAAGAAAAGAGACAGATAAACTTATTTGTTATATTATCTTGAAACATGAATTAAGATTTTTGTTAACAAATTCAAAATTTTTGCAAAAAAAGTAATTTTACCTTTCATATCTATTGATCCATTTAACTGATTGGAGCTTATATGCAAATACTTCAAATTTGAAAGCCCGCTAAGTGATGCAAATATGCTGTCCTTAATGAGATTATCACTCAAATCAAATTCTTCTAAATGGGTTAAGTTCAGCTGTCTCCCACTATCTACATAAGGTTTACATAATTTCATCACTAAAAAAAGATTTACATAATATTTAATTATATATAACAACTTAACTAATTGAACAAATATAAATGCATACCTTGTGAGGATTGAAGGCTTTCAATTTTGTTGGAGTGCAAATACAACTCCTTCAAATTCTTTAAATTATTCAATTCTATGTCCAAGTTCAATTCAAATAATCATTATGTTAGCCTGGTTACTCAAATAATCTTTTACTGAATATTTTTAATGACTTTACAATGAAATAAAAGGCAAAACAAATCTAAAGCTTTAAATGAAGAGGAAAAATCCCCAAATGTGATATGAGATTTTACCTATTTGATGAGCAAAAGGGTTCTAAAATAGAATTAAAAAAAAAAGAAGGGAGTTGTAATAGCTTTACCTTTAATATCTATTGAGCCTTGCAATTGGTTGTTCCCCATATACAGGGACTTTAGACTTGGAAGGCCAGAAAGGATTGCAAAAGTGTCGTTCTTGAAGAGATTATTACTTAAATCAAGAACCTCCAAATTGGTCATCCTTAGTTGTATCTCCTTTCCTGTAGAAGAATATTTCTATTATATGCTACTGTTAATGGGAAATTTTATACATTGATCACATAATTAAGAACTTAGTTGAGTGAATTGAAATATATATTTTTACCTTGCTTTGATGGTTAGGAGCTTTCAATTTTATTGTAGCTTAAATCTAAGTTCTCCAAATTTATCAAATTATTCAATCGTATTCCATACCAAAGAGCAATTAATATTATGTATAAAAGCAAATGTTATGCAACACCTTTTCCTGAAACAACAATTGATTTGAATGTAAAAGAAAGGTAAAGCAAGTTTACCATGAATATGAATGGTTCCTTCCAAGTGATTTGCACTCAAATTTAAAGTCCTTAAAGATAAAGACCATTCATATGAAACAATATGTTATTTTTCAAAGAGTTGTACCTTAAATTAAGAGTTTCCAACTTACTAAGTCTTGAAAGCCATTGAAAACCTATAATGAAGACAGATTAATATTTTAATTACTGTTTATCATTCATAATCATTATTAGATTAATTTAATTCCACCGTTTGCATGACTGGATCCAGTGAACAAGTTTCCTGCTAGATATAAATCCTTGAGAGATAAAAGCTGACTCAAAGATAATAAAACTGTATCATTGAGGTAATTGAAACTTAAGTCAAAGATCTCCAAATTTAGCTTTGCAAAACCTGCAAGAGAGTTCTTTTAAATATATAATAAAGACTTAGTGGCTTTTCATCAATTAAACAATAATAGAATTAAATATGAAATTATAAAAATGAAAAGTTATGAATGAATTTTCATATTGCGAATTAGCAATGAAAGGACAAAAGGGACCTTCATTTTCAACAAAACCAGCGATGCTATTCCCGTCCAAATGAAGAAGCTTCAATTCCTTGAAAGGAAGAAACAAAGAGGCATTCAGATACCATCTTTCATTGTAGGACCGTCTTGTATCATAAAGAAAGAGTCCTATGACTCGCCCGAAGGAGGAGGAGGAGGAGATGTTGCATTCGACCCTTTCCCATTGGCAGCAATCTGAACCCTTGTCCTCCACCCAGCGGTTCAGATCTTTATAATGGTTGAAGAAAGGTTTGAGTTGCAAGAGAGCAATCCTCTCATCCTCCCAACACGCATCAGTACTATACCATCTGCATCCTTCTAACAACAACAACAACACACTCAACCACAACCATTTGGGTTCCATCATCTCCTTCTCTATTATATCTCTATATTTTCAGTTCTCTCTCAACTGCTACCTCTAAATATATAATAATAAGCCTTGCATCGAACTTAATATATATAGACAATCAAGGAGTAAAGCAATAACAGTCATCCCTATAAAATGGCTCTTGAATATAAATTGATTAAAATTTGTCTACAGAATATTTTGTTAAATATTATAATTTGGTTTATTATTTTTTATTCAAAAACAATATATATTGACAGTGCAGTAAGGAAATCAAGTCAAGGAAACGTTGGCAAGTCAAGGTCCTCGTTTACACTCTGTTTTGTAGGAAAGAAAGAAAAGGGAAAGGAAAAGAAAATTCCCTCTTCCTTTCCTTCTTACCAAAAGGAGTGTTAGTCTCTTTCTTTTTCTCCTATCGGTGGTGAATTCTACTGTTCTTGGAATTGAAACTTGAATAAATTAGTCACTAAAATCACTCTCTCTTGAAAGTGGCTGACATAATTTAGAAAAAATTTTGCAATGAGACAAGTGCGCGCCTTTACGTGAAAAATCAAGCAATAGACTTTTATTTTCCACAAATTAAAACTTTGTTCATGCTATATATAGATATATATATATATATATAAGGTTTTGTCTCAATAATAAGAAAGAGGGATTGGAAGCATTAGATTTTATGATCAAATCTCATTGTATATATGTTGGATTTAATTTAAAATTTCTATAAATATACTAATTTTCTATTATTTAATTGTTTTGATTATTATTATTTTTTGTATCGATGATCAATCTTGATAAAAAATCATTCATTTCACAATCGTTCTCTTAGTTGTATGGTTGGAGTACTTGTTAAACCCAACTACTTTTTAGGTTATTGGTCAAAAGACTTGGATCCAGTCCTAAATATGATTTTTGAAACTTGAGTTCAACTTAAGAATTTTATTATATTAATAAATAATATATATTAATTAAATTTTAATTTTAAAATATTAATATAAAATATTATTAACATTTTAATAACAAATTTAATTGAAATAAGTAAATTAGTTTGGGAACATTTCACTTATAATTTTTTTATTACAATATTATAATTATTTAATTATATTAAAAAATTATATACGGATTCATCACTTATGTGTGTGTGCTTTATATAATATTTTATAAATCTCACATAATTTTAAATTATGATTAGTTACATAATGATTGTAAATGACACTATTGATTTTTTTTTCATTTTGTAATTAATACTTTAGCCCATAGTGTGGCTTTACATGAAATTGCGGAGTTTGGGTTAAAAATTCTTTCAACGTTTTCCATGTGACTTCCTGTTACATTCTATTTCTTTTTGGAAAGAAGAAACTTTTATTGCGAGTTCCATTTGGTTTCTATTTTTTTAAAGGCATTTCATATCTACTTTTAAATCTATGAAATTATAACATCAGATATTGCATTGTTTGAAAGGATCGTCGCATTGGCGTCAACTTTTAAATTCACATTGTCTTCATATCCACGTTATTTAATTGAAATATATATTTGGATTCTTAAAGTATATGTATGAACATAAAATGTTGTGATTTGTCTACGAGTTTTTCATTTTCTTTTCTGATTTCTCTGTAAATGATTAATAAAATAGTAACAAACAATCAATAATATGATATTAAATTTCATAAATTTAACAGTAAAATTTTACATAAGCTATTAATAAAGGATAAAAAAAATTTATACTTTCATATATCAATAGAATGAAGCTTTCGCTTTGCATGGGATATATATATATATATATATATATTTAAAATTATTTATAAAAAATAATTTTAAATTGAATAATATGATAAATAATAATACTTAAAGATGCTTTTTTATTTAATTTTTAATTTTTCAAAATACTTACTTTAATATCAAATTGCACTTTTGGCTTTTATACATGAAAAAATGAATTCAAAAGAGTGTAAAAAAAGTAGAATACAAAAGTAAAAAAAGAAACTATTGGACTTTTAAAAGCAACTGCAATGTTGGTTATTGGCCAAACCCAAAAGAAAGTTATTGAGAAATCAACTTCAACTTGCTTGACACTTCATATAATTTATAGTTATATCTTCACCATTAGTTTTACTTTAGTGTGAATAACGTTTTAATTTGTGGAAAATAAAAAGTCTTGTGCTTCGTTTTACACACAATGGCATGTACTTTATCTCATTGCAAAATTTTTCTAAAGCATGTCAGCCACTTTTAAGAAAGTATGATTTTAGTAATAAATAAGTTTATTCAAGTTTCAATTCCTGGAATTTACCATCGATGAGAGAACACAGTGAAAGGCACCAACACTCCTTTCAAGTAAAAAGGAAAGGAAACCAAGCAGAGTCTACGCAAAGATCTTGACTTGCTAAAGTTTTTAAAGTCTAGTTCAGATTGATTGTGCTATTATATTGTAAAATAATTTATTTTTAAATTTTATTTAGAAGATATTTAAAAGAATTAAAATATTAGTAAAATATATTTTTGATATTTTAATGATAAATAAAAACAAATGCAGAGCTGACCAAACCTAAGATTTTTAGGTTTCAAGCCAAAACTCGGCTCCTTTTTAGTCCATAGACACCTTATTTTTTATTTTCAAATAATATATTTTTAGAGAACTAAGAAAGCCAATTATTTTTGCAGCTCCACAATTACTCAACCCTTGCAAATACATAATTAGGATGTTAAAATTTGTAGATTTGATATTATATTATAATTTTTAAATTTAAATATTATATTGAATATTTCATTATAATTTAAAGATCATTCATAATTTAATCATTTTATAACTTTCCACCATGAATTAGACATTGTCTGTATAAATATTGTAAATGCTTCTATGATCTCCTTGTTATTAGACTCTACTTATCATTTGTGTATTTATATTGTGTAACAATTTGAAATTCATGTACTTCCGTGTTGTGTTTTATTGAAAATTACATATCACAATTTCATGTCGACATGAAAATATAAATATATATTTTATTTTATTAAATTCATATATAATTATTTCTAAAATTTTACAATAGAACAATTATGTACCTTTGTATTAAACCAAGCAATAGAGTTTTATTTTCCACAAATTAAAACTTTGTTCATACTATCAATGAAGTTTTGTT